AGGGAAATATTGACTATTATGGCATGATTAATGACATCATTAAGTTGGATTATTATGGAAAGTAAAAAGTTATCTTATTTCGGTGTGATTGGACTGATGTGAATAGTACAAAGGGTATTAAAAAAGTTCAGTATGGATTAACACTTGTGAATTTTTCTCGATTAATTCACACTGGACAACAACACATCGATGAACCCTATGTATTTTCATCTTAAGTCAAACAAGTATTTTACTCCAAAGATCCCAAAAAATTAGGTTGGTTTGTTGTTATTCGAAACACACCTACAGACTTATTTGATATGGGGTTAGATACCAAAGATGATGTTGAACATGAAACTGAATGTTATCCTTTTGCTGAACAAAACTTGGATGAAAATATCTCCGGCACCTACACTCAGTGGGTCCACCAAGATGTTACTGAAGATATTTACGAACCATGAAATGGTACATCTATAATTTGTAATTCGAGTATTTAAGACATAATGTAGTAAATGATAGTATGTAAATAGTGTGACATTCGTTATTGTATAATTATTGTATTCTAAATCATACATTATCTTTTGATTTAATTAAATCGATATGTTCTTTATCTATCGCAGGTTTTGATTTCTTAAATTGTCAATATTTTTTATATATGTTGTAAACTAATATTTTTTTTTATATTCGCTTTTATGATATAGGTAAGCTACAATGCGAAAGAGTAGGTTGAAAGGAAAACATATAAGAGATATTAGTTCAGAACCGTTTGCGGCACCTATAGATATTGGCTATGGACTGAATCCTTTGGAGGAAAATGAACGTACTGTTAGATCTAACTCATTCACTTCTCACCTTTCAACTGATATTGAATTTGACAATACGGGAGGTACAGGTTCAGATAGTACCCCATCAATTAATTATGCTTTAAATTTGAATGGAGGTATGGTATACTCCAATTTTAGAATTCGTGCATAATAATAAAAGTACTGTTATTTTACAAATATATTTCTTATTTATTGTAGTTGATAATAATGGTCATCAGAGGACCAAAGGCTGGACAACTTTGAAGGAATTGTTTGCACTAACTCCTAACGAGCATATTGTAGTATCTGCAAACTCTGATAGGCAATCAATTGGTGAAGAGGCTCAACTATTGGCTAGATTTCTAGGCGTGGTAGCTCATAATGGAATGAAATTACCTATTCATTATGAAATATGGCATAAAGTTCCAGAAGAAGTTAAGGCATATGCGTTAAATTTTATTGAGGTATTAGTATAATTAATTAGATATAAAAAAAATTTATTTTACATATTGTTTACTTATTCTAACTTTTGTTATTGTATTATTACAGTCAAGATTTGCACTTGAAATACCAACTTCATTTGTACTTAAGTCATTAAGAAATAAATGAAAAGATTATAAGCATAGTTTGAAGAATAAGTATTTCGATCGAAATACTACTGTAGAGACGATGATGGAAAATTTACCTCATAATGTGATTAGGTGGTAATATGAACAACTGGTTAGGTTTTGGTTCTTAAGAAAATGAGAGGTACTAGTTTATAACTTTGTATAGTAGAATGAAATGATGAAAGTGTTTTATGGTTTAAGTTGGTAATATTTGTATTTCTATCATATACGTTATTTTTTATGACAGAAAATAGAACAGATTAGGACTGGTAGCAAAAAGCAACATAAATATAGCCACACAAGTGGATCAAAAATTTTTGCAAGAAAGCAAAAAGAAATTGTAAGTTTATGATAATAAATGTATTCAAATGAATGAACATTTTCAGCCATTAAAAGGTAAATATGCAAATTAACAGTTATTGTTCTGTTTTAATAGTTTTGATAGTTTCAATACATGATATTAAACTTATCGAAAGTTTTGAACTTAGTTGACACAGATGATATGTATGAAAAGTTATTATTTACGTATATTTACACATTTAATACAGATTTGTTGTGATTATTGTATTTTAACAGTTTGGATAGCTTCAATACTTGATATTAAACTTGTCCGATTGATTGAACTTGGTTTCTAAGGTTGATATGAGAGAAAAAGTTGTCGTTTATGTCTGTTTAGGAGTATTTTTGCATATAAAAGGCAAATATGCAAATTAAACTTTTTGATGGCTTTCAACATATTGAATGGCTTCAATCCTTGATATTAAACCGAAAAAAAATAATTAAATTTGGTTTCTATAATCGATATGTGTGAAAGCCCAAAATAATTTTATTGTTTGCATATGTTTAAGACTATTGTGTTGCTACGGGGTCAAAATATAAATACATGAGATTAAAATTATTCAAAATTTTAATACTTAATTGATAGGCTTGATATGCATGAATAAGTTGCAGTTGATATGTATCATAACAAATAACATATCTTTTTGTATAGGAGAATGAGATGGGCAGTACAACTGGACATGTGAAACTTTTTCGCATCACACACACAAAAAAAGATGGATCTTACATGAATGTCGAAATACAAGAAATTACGATAATTTGTATCATCTATTTTAACAAAAAGTAAATATTTACTCTTTTTAACATATAATCAATTAATCATTAAACTTGATAATTGTATATGACAAATTCACAAAAGAAAACGCACGAGAAAATGTTGTTAAGATTGAAATAGCATTTGATGGTTCCTCAACATGCAAGAAATGAAAAATTAGATATTCATAGAAGTTGCTAGAAAAAAAAGCCATGGACGGGTCCGAGGCCTTGGATTGGGTCCAACACCATCTGCCTACTATGGACATAGCTTTCCACAATTTACATTCTCAATAAGTTAATCTTTACGAGATATTTCAATATTGAGAGGGGAGTTGCAAACTATGCAACAACATTTTCAGGAAATAAAAGCAGAAAGAGAACAGGAGCGTACCAAAATTGAGGAAGAACGTGCTAGAATGGAGCAAGAGCGTGCTAAATTTCAGCATAAGATGATCGATTCAATCATCTTATGAATTTTATGCAACAACAATTTCCAAAAAATGATCTTGGTGCTCCACCAACTCATGTATTATATTTAGTAAATATTTAAATTTTTAAATATATAAAAAACTTACAATGAAGTGTTAAAAATTGTATGGTATTATTTAGTAGATTTTTTAGTACGTTAGTGACCAAGGTGAAAATTTTTCTTCATCAATTGACAGCCAACAAAATGTATGCAGTCATCCATTTCATATATTTTAACTTTTTATTTTGTTAATGTATATAAAATATTTGAATATTATTATACTAATTATTAAACTTTATATTAATGAGATGTATATTTAAACATGAATGAAGTTAATATAAATTTCAGTTTCTAAATTTAAGCTCTTTAATGAAAATAAAATTTATTAAAAGAATTTAAAATATATATATATTTTTACATAATGGGTCGCGTTTGCATTCATTGTGGGTCGCTAAATGAATAATTTAGTGGCGTTTGTAGCATAAAACGTCACTATAAGTAGCAGCGCTCTTACCAGCAAACATCGTTTGTTAAGTGATATTTTTCTCATAAAAATGTCACTAAAGCAATGTCATTTTTCTTATAAAAATGTCACTGAATTAACGGCAAGTAAAAGATATAAACACCGCTAATATAAAAGCTTTTTCATATTCAAACACCTCTAAAATAACAGTATTTTCAGCTACAAACGTCACCAAAATAACAACATTTTTCCTCATAAAAACATTACTAATTTAGTGGCGTCTCAAAGATTTCGTTGCTAAAATGGCAGTATTTCAAATATAAATGCCTCTAATATTAAGGTATTTTTCGAAAACGTCGTTATTTATCGAGTTGCGTGAATAGCTGACACTCTGTGTGATATTTTTCATAAATAACGTAAATCTTTTTATGACGTTTAAAAATGCGCTAAACAATAAAAAAAACATCACTAAAATCCAAAACCCCTATAGCGATGAAAAGAAAGAATTCTATGAATAAGGATGACTTACAAAACTAAACCTTTGAAGGCTTATGAAAAGTAACCTTAACCAATGGAGAATGATTTAAAATCTAAAGTGTCTAGATAAAAAATTAACATTCTTAATCAATTACAAGTTTTATTGAAACTGTAAAATAATTTATTTATGTTAAATTAATAAATAAATTTATATATTAAATAAATAAATATTTTAAATATAAGTATCTATCTTATTCACAAATATTAAAAATAATATAATAAAATATATCATTCGATAATTTTATCTTTCTCTAAAAAAAAAAGAAATCTTATATTATCTAAAGTAATATAAGAATCGTCTATTTTTCAAAATCTGTCGACTAAAACAATTTAAGAGGATCACATTAAAAAAAAAATAGAATCCACGAACAAAGCCGTCTCTAAAATTATTTTTTCAGCGTGAATGAATGAGAAAGGAAAGAAAATGACTCTCCAGCGGCTCCCATTGTTTTATGGGTGGGTGATGACGTAACTGCTATCGTTTGCTTTGCTTTGCTGAAATCGGGAAGTTTTCAAACTGCAAGGGACAACAGCGTATTATATTATCATTTCAGAAACTGCTCTCACTTTGTCTGTATTTACTCAGTCACCATTCCAGTTTTCTTAAATTAATTTGGTGCCACTCCCACCGTCCCACGTCCTCTACTCTTCTTTCCAAACCTTTTGTCTTTGTAAGCAAAATGGTAAATAAGTATTAAAGCTAGCTAATAATAGGTGACTCAATTCATAAGAATTTGATATGATACTAAAAGGTCAACAATAAATTTACCCTGTTGTCGTGTTGTGAAGAGAAGAGATAGACTCGAGTTTCGGTTGAATAGGTTAAATTAAATGTTATGAATTCGAATGAGACCAAAAATGCAAGGACAGAAAAAGCCAGGGGATGATTTGGAATTAGAATAAAAAACAGGGGCTTCCGTACTTTTTATTTAAAATAAATTTAGTTGATTTTGAAATAGAAATAATAAAAGGAAAGAAAATTTTAAGGGTAGGTGCCAATGCCAGCGCATACCAGGGGTTGTTGGCTATAAAATAAAAAATGGATCTCCGGGTTGAAATCTTCAAATTGGTTTTACTTGTTTATGAAAAGACTAATATCATCAAACATGGCGTGTACGATGAAGGATACATTCTATCTATCACACGGATCGCCGACGCTGTCGATAGACGAGTCGCTTCCCGCAAGGCATTTCTTGCGGTCATGGAAGGACAAAGTGTTTGGCCAAACGCCCAAATCCATACTCGTCATTTCTGGTCATTGGGACACTACCTTTCCTGCCGTTAACATTGTTCAACGCAATGATACTATTTATGACTTCTATGGTTTCCCGGATCGAATGTACAAGGTAAAAAGTTTTCATTATTATTTTGAAAATTAAAGAAAATGGTAGTTCTAATCTATTCTTTACTCTTCCTCTTTTTATTAAAAGCTGAAATATCCAGCACCAGGCGCTCCGGAGTTAGCACTAAGAGTGAAGGAATTGCTTATGGCATCTGGTTTCAAGCGTGTTGATGAAGATAGAGAACGTGGGCTTGACCATGGTGCTTGGGTTCCGCTCATGCTAATGTATCCAGAGGCAGATATTCCAGTCTGCCAACTCTCCGTTCAGTCAAAAAGGGATGGTACTTACCATTACAACTTGGGAAAGGCTTTGGCCCCTCTCAAGGATGAAGGTGTTCTCATCATAGGTTCTGGAGCCACCACTCATAACTTGAGGGCCCTTAGAAACTTGGGTGGTGCTGTTGTTCCATGGGCTTCAGAGTTTGATTCTTGGCTTAAGGATGCCCTGCTTCAAGGAAGGTAAATCATTCTTTCTCGTAATAACATTTTTCCTTTTTGTTTATACATGTCAGATTGACAACAATGTGCAAGTAATATTTAAATATGGTGACGGATGTCTAGCATTTCTTTAATTTCTGGTGAGCAACGATCAAAGCAGCAATATCAATTTTTTCTCCAACTTATGGATTTTTCTGTTCTTTGGGGTGTGATATGCAATTTCAATTGTCGTTTGAAATGAGGTTTATTGTTTGTTTGCTTGTTTTCTTTTCGGGTAGTTTGACTCTTGTGGTTATTTGGTTCTTCTTGTAGATTTGAAGATGTGAATCATTTTCAAGAGAAAGCACCACATGCGAAGATGGCTCACCCTTGGCCAGACCACTTCTATCCATTGCATGTGGCCATGGGTGCTGCTGCCGAAAATGCAAAGGCCAAGCTTATCCATCATAGCTGGGATCTTGGTGCTCTTTCCTATGCTTCTTACCAGTTCACAACAGACAGCTGATGTCCATTGAGGAACTGCCCTGCTATATCCCCTCTTTTTATTCCTTCTATTTTATCTCGAATAAATTAGACACAAGAAAGAGTATGTCCTATGTTAAGTATGTGCAGTATGTATGTATTTTGACAACTAGACCATTATGTTATAAATACGTGAAGTTTGTTCCAATTAAATTTCATACATGAAAGTATGTTCTAGAACAGCTTTCTTTTTGTCCAGCGGGTTCTAAGTCGTCATAGGCAAAAACTTATTTGAAGCAGACAGTTCGGAAGAATATTTAGCATTCTAGCTTAAAATTTGAACAGAACTTTCTTACTTCGTATTCGGAAAATGAACCTGAGATGGTGTAAATTTGATTTGTTATTAAAACGTAACGTACAGAGTTCATAAACAATTTGACATTATGCCTTGATTTATTTGCATTATTAATGCGTCTTAAAGGGAACATCTGTTGGAGAGATCTTAAGCTAAAATCCTAATATAAGCCTTTTCGATGTTGAGAAAGGGCTAGAAAATATGCAGAAACTGTTGGCTGTGCTACAGTAACCGCCGCCGTGATACAGTACCGTTGAAAAGGGGGAAACTCGGTAGCAGTAAGTTTGAAGAAGAATTCGGCACCATAACTTTTGACATGTGCACCGTGTGCTACGGAAACTTTTGTGTGCTATAGTTTCGTATATTGCTACAGTGACATACAAAAAAATTAGCCTATAAATAGGTTGTTGGTGGCAGAAACAAGATGTGCCAATGAGAGCCTTTTGAGTGCCTAAAGTGGTGCCTAAAAAGGGTACAAGGGGGCGCCAAGTGAGGTTTGTCATGTGGTGTCTAAGGGTGGTATCGGGAGGTGCCGAAGGGTGATGCCAGGATGTGCATGTCCAAGGGTGGTGCTGAGGAGATGCCCAAGGGTGGCGCCGGAAAGTGTCCAAGGGTGGTGCCATAAGGTGTCAAATGTTGGCTTATTCCTGGGGTTTTGGTCGTGTGTCCATCATTAGGAATGTGGAAACACTTGTAAAATCCTGGGAAAGATCTTCTTGTAGTAAGGCATGTGTGGGGTGAGTGTAGCTATTTAAATATCGTTTTTTATAGTGAATTTCTTTTTTGTGGTGCCGTTGTATATATTGTTGGTGTTCTCTCATTTTACCGTATCTTTTCGTGTTTCAAGTTTTTGATTAGCTGGTTCAATCTAATTTCTAAAGGGTTAGCTTCAATCATTTTTATGTTGTGCATGTGGTTTGGATTTTCTAAATCCAAATCACAACAAATTAGTATCAGGACTATCATAATCCCAACATTTGGAACGGTGGTTAATACGGCTCTCAACTTCAAATGGCACTGAATTCGTACAAGTCTTATATCGTTTTGGGGGCATCAATGCAATGCTAATAGATAAAATAAAATTCCATTTGTTACGTAAAAATTTATTTTTAGAAAATGATTTTTATATTTTGGTATTTGTTTAATAAAAAATTAACTGGTTAACAGAAAATAACTTATTAGTAAATGAAAAATGAGATCATTTTTCTTAAAATCATCTTCTTCTTTTCAAAAGTGAAAGATAATTAAAAAAAAAAAAAACTATCTAAGAGTATGACTACTTACTAAGAATGCATTTGCCTTTTATCTTAATAAAAAGAGTAATATCAATATTTTCCTTATTAAATCATTTTTAATTAAAAATTTTTGACAATCTTTTATACCAAATTCTTAGAACTTGTTTTAAATCATGTAAAACTTTTATCAATTTAAAAGCATGATTTGAAAAATGAGAATTTTTTAAATTGAGAGATTGCTCAACATACACTTCCTCATTAATGTAATCATTTAAAAAAACACTTTTGACATTCATTTGAAATAATTTGAAATTCTTAAAGCATGCAAAAGCTAATAGCATCCTAATGCTTCTAATCTATTAACTTAGCTTTATTTTTAACAATATTGCTAGTCTCATCTATTTTATTTCCAAAGATCCATTTGACACTTACGGTGAGATAATCAATAGTTCTAGGTACTAGATTTCATGCTTGACTTCTTTCAAATTGATTAAACTCTTCTTGTATGGCCAATATCCAATGATCATCTTCTAAGATTACATCCATATTCTTGGGTTAAATTTGGGGGAGAAAAGCAACATAAGTACAAATATTGAATGAAAATCTTGTTCCGACCCCTATCACCAATAACCTTATTTCCTTTAACATACTTCCTTTCTCTTGGGAAACTAGGTTTTTATTCAATTTGTTGTTGCTCTAGAAATTCATTCTCTTTTTTTTTTTTATTGTTCTCCTCAATATCATGAAATGTATCTCAATATTTCATTGAATTATACTTATATCATTGTCATAAAAAAAACCTTTATCGAAGAAGGATTAGATTCATCAAATATGACATGTATAGATTTTTCAATAACCAAAATTCTTTTATTAAAGATTCTAAATGCTTTTGAATTCAAAAAATATCCTAGGAAAATACTTTCATCATTCTTTGCATTAAATTTGCCAAGATTGTTTTTTCAATTATTCAAAATAAAGCATTTACTAAACCTAGCAATTTCATACATGATATAGTAACACAACACAAAAAAGACATGAAAAAAATTGTATATGTGTTTTAAAAACATGTTTCGTGTTTATTTGTGTCAACACAAATTTTGACACGACACAATTCGTGTCTTATACGTTGTTAGCCTTAAATTGATATTTATTCTGAAATGAAAAAAAATGTTAAACTAAATAAGTTTGATTAAGATTTTGAAAAAGATTTATTTAGTACATGTTCTTAAGTTTTATCATTTTTTGTACTAAATAAATAATATGTTTTTCAAAGCATAAACAAACATTTCTTTGTTTTCATATTTCTCAAACCAAATATATATTTAAAGATTATTTATTTGAGCCTAAATGAAAGTTCAATTGTTATTTTAAAAGTGAACTTATTCATTTTGAACTCAATACAAATTTAATAATATTAGTTTTGAGAAATAGATTAATTTAAGAAAGTTGTTTTGTGAGCATAATATTTCCAACATTGAATTTATTTTATTTTTTTGTATTAATTCGCAAAGTTTTAATATTTAAATTTTATATGGTTGGAAAGCTTTTTGAGTCTACTTTCTAATGAATTAAACAAAATCTAAATCTAAATTTTCTAAGAAATTTTTTTTTAATTTTTATTAGAGACTATGCAGTTGTCTAAAAACTGTATAAGGGGTAATTTTGAAAATTCACTATAATTTTTATACATTGAATTAAATAATGAATTTTATATGAATAGAAAGCCCCTTAAGTTTAGTCTCTAAATCCTTAAACAATTCTTAATTTAGAATTATATAACTCAAGATATTATTAAATTAGTAAGTAGAATACAAAATAAGAGACTACCAAAAGCACTATTCATAAAGAATCACTATGTATCCAAAACCTGACTTACCTGAACGATGCTATATGCTATAATGTTCAAATTTTGAGTGAAATTCAAGAACCAATTGATCCCCTAATGTACTAGATTAATATCCTATGCCCAGAAAAGCTCCAATGGCTAGTTTCAAATGAGAAAAACATGTGTTTTCATTTCCCAAGCATTCCCAATGGCTCTAAACAAATTTTCTTTGTAAATAGGACATTCCAACACACCAAAAAGATTTATGAAACATGAGAGCAAGCACCAATAAGTCTTACTTCCATTCTCTCAAGAATTTGAGAGTTTTTAAAGCTTAAATTCTATACCTTTTGTATTTGTTGTATCCAAGCTATTCTTGTCTTTCATTCATTCATTCTTGTACTTAAACTTAGCAAACACTTATCCATTAGAGGTTGTTTCATGGTTTTCAAATTTTTTTGATTTACAAAAGGGTTTAGAATGTAAGAGGTGAGATATTTTCTTGAGAGATTTGTAGTGAGATTGGTAAATTACTACGAAGGGTAGATGTTGCTATCTTAAATCTTGAAAAAGATAGGGTTTGTAATTTCATTCCATTAATGAATTGAAACTTTGTAAGGATAACCATGACAGAAGACGTACATACCTTTGGATAAGGACTAAATCTCTATAAATTTCGTATTTGATTTCTTTATCCATACACTTCTTACTTTCATTATTGTTCACATTTGCTTCAAAATTATTTAATTATTGTTAATTGCATTATATTTTCATATTATTTTTAATTTTTCATTCAATTATATTGAAAGCTATTTTTGAAAAAATTTTGGAGAAAATGTAACTCACCCATTTTATGGATTGCCTATCTACACTAAAAAGCTAACAATTAGTATCAGAACTTTAGTCTCTTTTCTAGGTCTAACAATCTTGAGAAAAGATCTTATGGCTCAACATATTTTTTGAAATGGTGAAAAGGTTCTTAAAGCTCCTATGATTGATAAATTTGAATTTTATGAATGAAAAATGAGAATGAAGGTTTTCATCACGACCCAGATTTTATAACATGGAATGTGATAGAAAAAGGGCTTGGAACTCCTTCAAAAAATGTAAACTACATGAAGCAATTACTAGATGATGCTAAATCTAAGTGCATTCTCTATGGAGCTCATGACTCCTACAATGTATTATATGAAAGATAACAATCCAACCAAAATGCAATCATATCTTATGGCTCTTAAAGAGTCCAAGGTAACCTTTAACTCAACTGATTGAAATTCATATAATTTTGATGAATTGCAAAATGCCTTTGATGAGTTAGTTATGGAATTTAATCAATAAGATTGAAATACAAGAAAATAATTTCAAAATTAAAAGTTGAAAATGAATTTTTGATAAATGCAAAGAATGATTTAAAAAAACAAAATGATTAGTTGAAAATGAATTTTGAAACATCTCAAAATAGAAATGAAATTTTGAAAAAGGAAAATCTTGATTTGGAAAAGAAGTTTGAAATTTTAAGGAATGAAAAACAAGAGTTTTTCAAAAATAGTTTAAGTGTTAATATGACAAAATGTAACTATTCTAATTTTCATGGTCATACTATACATACTTATCCTATAAAGAAAAAAGTTTCATTTAGAATTAGGTAAGTATAGGTTCCAAAAGAAACTAGATACTTGGCCACTAATTCTCAAAGACCCAAAGCAATTTAGGTACAAAAAAATCAAATGAGAATGTTTCTCATAAATGTGCTAGAGTAAGGAGCTACAATGTGAGATTGAATATTGAAACTCTAGACATACAATGGAGATGGGTAACCTCTAAGCCTAATAGTTATTTAAAGTGAATTTAAAATTGATTGCCTATTGAGATATCTTAATTATACAAATTTGATTTGATATGATATATGTTGCATAATCTTGGTAAAATATGAGCATGAATTGAATAGGGATTTATTGTTGCTCTCAATTGTATGATTGTGATGATTGTTGAAATTAATTTTGTTGGTTAATTGCTTGAAATATATTCATGCATAATATCATAGAGGTTATGTGTATGATCATTGCTACTGTTGATATGTTTGGTGAAATTGAATGCTTGAAACATATTTGACATGTTTGATGTATTTGATTGTAGTGCTTGATTGTTTTTTTATTTATGCATAAACTTAGGGGTAGCATGCAAAGCTTAATGGTTTTGAATTTTTATGTTTTGCTTTGAAAATGATTTTTGCAAAAGTCAAGCTTTAAAATATTAAAATTTGTTTTAGCAAATTTTTTAATGAAAAATTAATTTGAATATCTTGAGTTCAATCATTTAAACTTACTCAAACAAAGAAACTTGAAACTTGAAACTTGATTAACATGCAATTGTTTTTATCTTTCATAGTGATACAAGGAAGTTTTAAAGGATTTTAGAGCTTAAAAGGTCAAATCTTATTTTTTGAGCATTTGTGACCATAAAAACCAGTTGGACACTTTCATATTGTGATATTACACTTTTTCAACTCATTTAATGAGCTTAAGTGTGAGTTTAAACATATTTGCCCATCTTAACAGGTTTTTTCAAGAAATATGAGGTTTAAGAGTTGACATTTTGATTTCCTTATTTCTAAGACCAAATAACCACTTGAACAACTTTATTTTGTTATTTGAAATTTGTTGGAATGGTTCAAGTTCATTAAAAGTGAACTTGACAAGTTTTTAGATTTTTTAAAATCTTTTCCAAGCAAAAATGAGCTTTAAAGTGTCAAAAATCAAAAATCTTGAAAATATTAAGTTTTGAATGATTTATCTTATTTTGTTTTGCATAAATAAATTTGTTTAAATAAGTTTGGTGCTATAAAAATGATATTTTTGGTCTTAA